CAGCGTCTGCATGCTCATTTGCGATTTGGCCAACGACACCAAGCATGCGCTACCCCAACCGCAGCCGCTGGACGCACGCCGAAGAAGTCTTCCTCTACCACCTCGTGCACTGCTTCCTCAAGGGCATTCTCGAAGACCACGCGCACGACCTCCCTCTCCGCCAGTACGTCGCCCACGAGCTGCAATGCGACCCCATGCGCATCTCCAAGCGCCTCAACGAGAGCCGATCGCTCCTCGGCCGACGCATCTCGCGCAATTTCAACCGCGTCTACTACAAGCCAGCGACCGACTTTACACAGACGGACATTGACGCGCTCTTTGAGCTCAAGTGCGCTCGCAACGACTTTGAGGTCGCTCTCAAGCGCAAGCAGGCGGGTCGTCGCGGTCGGAAGAAGGCGCCGGCGCGCAAGTTCCTCTCCATCTCGGAGATGACGTCAACCGACGAAGAGAGTGGCGACGACACCAGCAGCATTGGCAGCTGGACTGAGGTCATCTAGCGTCAGCCATGCGGCCCATGTCTATTTTGCTATGTTCGTCTATACAAGTGTATTCTGTTGTCTACTTGTAACTGAAAGGTGTTGCAGCGGACCTCGGACTCACAGACTTGGTAGCACCAAAATGGCAGAGATGAATTGGAACAACGACCGTGGCCTGACTAGAGCGACCCCTGCACTTGCCAGATCATACGTTAGTATCGGCCCTGCAGTCAGTCTGCTTGGCTCCGCTTCTCGTCGTCGATGACGTCGCAAAAGGAGAAGGCAATGAGATGTTGAACATGGTATACGAGGCGACGTAACTTCGCGGCTCACTTCAAGTCCACCTCAGCGGAATACGCTTCTGGAAAAGGTACAATGCGCTGACCACCGCACCGACAATTCACATAACGAGTACTCGTTCGACCTCTCGAGGCCCCTGGCGTGTGCTTCCTCTACAAAGGCTCCTCGCACAGCTATCACAAAAGGTCGCGCTCATCATGATGTGCCGGGAACGTACTGCTTTAGGAAATTGAACCCTCCAGAAGCATGGAAAGATCCGCAGAGAAACCTACTTGGCTACTTTGCTACTCTACTAGTGCGAATATTTCGATTGGTATTGCATCTCCGGACATTGCTGGCCTCTTGTTAGATGCGCCAGCAGTGCCTCTGGCTTGACAGACTTTCAAGGTACGCGAAGCCAGATGTTTTGTGATCACGCAAGATGCGAGTCGCTCGGACCTGTGTTATGCTCGCCGCGAGATTGGCGGAGAGCACCCATCTTCCAGTGATGGGCGACGGCTCTTCCTGCGCCGAACGGAAAGGCCGATCGCGTTGGTGGGTAGCAACTGACGACCGTCGCTCCTGAGTATGGACTACTGACCTACCGTCAAGAGACAGGTACGCCATGTGATATGGGTGGATCGGCCACCTGCGATGCGAATCGTATGGTCCAGAGCGGTCGCTCACCTCGTGACGATAGAGCGGATGAGCGGACAGCCTACCGATGGCAATGCAAGGCACGGTGCCGGCTCGCATTGCCCGTCGGAAATTGATTTGCATTGGGTATCGTGGATCCCATTAGTTGCTGCAGGCTACTCCTCCCTATCGCCAGCCGAAAATTAACGGACCGCCAGCTTGCGAAACTAACAGCGTGACTTGTGCCTGCCAATACAACGCCGAAGCTGCGTCCTGGTATTGCCAGCGCACAAGTGTCTGGCAGCTGTAAGGAGTACTAGTACATTTCTTCTTCGAGTACAAACATGGTTTTTCTAAAAGCTTACAAGCAGTCATCATGTCAGTTGCCACGCTGCTACAGTTTAGTGGGCATCGACGGTCCATTGAATCTCAAGGAGCCTCATTTCGTTTGTGAATGCAGTACCTGTAGTACTTGCACCGTACACCGTGTGTATTAATAATATAGTAGCCCCAACGATGGGTGGCGGCACAGCGTGTCCATCTGGAAAGAGTGGGCTTGGCCGTGCAGTAACCGAATCGTCAGTGTTCAGCTGCATAGTTTGACAAGCGTTCGACAAGCTACTCGAGCACTCATCGCTGCAGCACTCGACAGCTCTTCATTTTCCATTACGCTTTGTACCATGCACTACCCCAACCGTCTTCGATGGACGCACGCCGAAGAAGTCTTCCTCTACCACCTCGTGCACTGCTTCCTCAAGGGCATTCTCGAAGACCACGCGCACGACCTCCCTCTCCGCCAGTACGTCGCCCACGAGCTGCAATGCGACCCCATGCGCATCTCCAA